TCCTGCCCAAAACTAAGAAAATCACACTCCTTCTGAAATAAAGTTTTAAACACAGCATATTTACAACCAATGTAAGTCCTTGTGCAAGTCGTCTAAATCTATATGTAGCGGCCGGTTATTTGAACTGAGCTCTCAGCTTATAGCGTCCCACACAAGGCAAACAGAATTATTGTTTTTTTCGTCTGAATGGAAAGCGAAAATCTTGCAGCATTTTCGATCACAAATATGCCTGTAGTTCTGCCTCGGAATTTTGTCCACATGATCATCAGCCCCGTCAACGGCATCTGTCACTACAGCTGGAGACATGCAGACAGACACTGCTACAACTCCCTCTGAGTTTTCTACTTGGCTTGCACACAGGTCACATGCTCCTTCATGCAACTTCTTTTTATTTTCCTTCTTTCTCATCTCTCTTTCAAACTCCATTTCCTCCTCCCTCTCTTTGCGAATGCGCCTCTCACGTTCCTGTTCTAGTGTGGAGAGGTAAGTGGTAAAAATGGTCTCGTCCTGCCGTGCGGACGCCAATTGTCACGAGGCCGTTTAACGGGCATGCACTCGTGTAGGTTCGTGTAAAAGCAAAAACCACCGACGACATAACCATCATCGGGAAATGAGCTGACGAGACCATTTGCTCCCACACAAATCCCCAACACTCAATATATTTAGAAACCCCTAAAAGACAAATAGCAGACAAAGAACACAGCATACATAACTACAAATAGGTTGGCAAAAAGACCAAACGGCTAAAGACGTGAACAGTGCATTACATAAATGTTCAGTTCAAAATAAACTTTGTCACGACATAGATGGAAGAGGTGCTTGAAGCGAAAGCTGTGCTACCAATGCATGGACGCACTCACGTAAACGACGACAGCGGGGATGCGGGGCTTGCAACTGATGTGACCGAGTAATGGTGAAGACGCACTTGTGCAGTAGGGAAAGAATGGTGATTAGCTTGAGACGCTCACGTGGTTGACTGGCACGGCAGGAAGCGTCGGGCTGGTCGAAGTCAGTGACCTTTCGGCGTTCGGCAACCGCAGCTCGCACACGAAGCCGGAGACTTTTCTTGGCCAACGCCTGAAGACTAGAACAAGCCTGGCCCACGTCAGGTGACGAGAAGAAGTTTAGTGTCCAGGTGGGAGCCCGCTGGGACCTCGATGCAGGAGCTCTGCTGGCCGCCACTCCCGCGCCCTTGCCACCTTCTTCACTCTGTCCCGACTCGGCCACGTCTGCCTGGATTTAGGACTGAGTCCTGCAGGCTCGGGTCTGACGCCCGACGGCCCGTCTTCAGCGCCCGGTCTGGTGACGACCTTCCGCTTGCCCCGTCTTCTTGAACTCCCCTTGATCTGCTCTGCTCAGGCTTCTGCTGCCGCTCTCGCCCACTTGTCTCGTCCCGATTGGAGATTCTGTACTTTCGTGGTACCCAGCCATTGGGCCTTGAAATCTCCGTGGAAGGACCTCATTGAAGCAAAATTTTCACGCCCACACGTGCCACAACCGAGCGTTATCTTCATCTTCTTCTGGCTGATGGAGTGGCGCACTTTTTAAACGCGCGCAATCACATCACACTGAGACCTTGTTTGAACAAGTAGTTGGCAATCATAGTTGCTGCTTTTTGAAGCCGGGAACGTATCTGAGGACGTGTGACTGCCGATGTCCAGACACAGATGTCGTCTGCGTATATTGATATTTTAATGGTGCTTGGCAAGTATTCAGCAAGGCCAATTAGTGCAAGATTGAATAGCGTCGGGCTAAGAACTCCGCCTTGAGGAACACCCCTGGAAGTATAGCGTCGCGTAGTTGGGCCATCTTCTGTTAACACAAAGAATGATCTTGCAGCCAGGTAACTCGAAATCCACCGAAAGACTCCACCACCAAGGCCAACCACCACAAGAGCACCTAAAATGGCTTCATGTAGTACATTATCATAAGCGCCTTTCACATCTAGAAACAAAGCTGCAGATAGTCGCTTACGGGATCTTTCGTGCTGAACGTACGAAACTAGATCAACGACATTGTCAATAGAAGAGCGGTTGCGTCGGAAACCAGCCATTGAATTCGGATAAATCTTGTAGTGTTCAAGATACCACTCCAGGCGGCCTAGTATCATCCATTCCATTATCTTCCCTACGCAGCTGGCCAGTGCTATTGGGCGATATGAGGTTAGTTCGAGTGGGGATTTGCCCTGCTTCAGGATGGGTAACAAGCGGCTTACTTTCCAGTCATCAGGAACATTGCCATCCTGCCACGAGATGTTGTAGAGGCTCAACAGTTCTCTCCTTGCCCATTCCCCAAGGTTGCACAAGGCTCGGTACGGAATACCATCTGGGCCCGGAGAAGTTGAACGCCTGCAGAGAGCTAGTGCCGCCTCGAGCTCCTCCATTGTAAAAAGGAGGTCCATGTGGTAGTCACGGGAACGGGGGACGTCACCTCTCACTGGAGAATCTGGACGAGTGGCTTGGTTGGCGATCTGCGCACAGAAATCTTCTGCGACATCGATGTCTGGCCTCCTTTGAAATAGCGCGAGCGCTTTGAATGGAAAGCGCTGTTCCGTAGGGTGACGCAGACCTTGCACCGTTTTCCAAATGTGTGAGAGTGGCTTGCGAGGGTCTAGTGACTGGCAAAACGTTGTCCATCGTTCCGACGCTAATCTATCCATGCGACGCCGAATCTTCTTTTGCATCCTCCTGGCTGCCCTAAGATCGTGAATTGATTTTGTACGCCGATACCGACGCTCCGCCCGGCGTCGCAGTGCTCGGAGTCGCTCCAACTCTATATCAAAGTCGTTTCGTGTGGAAGATATCGTCACCGTGCGAGTGGCGTTTTACATTGTGCTCCTAATTGTTTCCTCTAACCCAGATCGTAGGCCATCGCTGCAAGCATCTTCCATGTCAGATTTGAAGTTGGTCCATTGGACTGCTCGAATGGTCGTCCGTGGACCATAACTAGACAAGCCTTTGATGTTAAGGTAGATTGGAATGTGATCACTTCCTCGTGTCTCAACATCTGGAAACCACTTGACGTATCTCGCGAGGGAGTTGGAGACAAAGGCAAGGTCGAGACAACTGCCATATGTCACCCCTCGAAGAAAAGTGGGGCTGCCGTCGTTCAGGAGAGTAAGGCCATAGTTGTAGGCGATGTTTGCTAACCTGCGTCCTCTTGCATTTGTCCGCGTACTTCCCCATGCGTGATTGTGCGCATTGAAATCACCTATGAGGACCCATGGTGCAGGACACACTCTCGAAATATCCGCTAATCTCCTGGAATCGAGATTACTTGACGGTGATATATAAACGCCTATGAGAGTAAACATGAGTTGGTTCTTTTTCACAGTGATGCAGACATACTGATTGTCATCGTGAGGTGCAATTGGTTGCACAACATACGTCAGTTCACGACGAACAAAGACGATGATTTTGCTGCCCGCACCATTCGTTGAAGACATGACAGCTTGTCAAAAACCCTTGTCAAAATCATTTATTGTTTTAGGAACGTCTGTATTCCTCAGCAGTATAAGTCCCTCTACTCATTCTTTCAATTACTACTTTTTTATGCTCGTTCCTTGTCTCGTGACAAGTCAACAGGCGCTGGCCGGAAAGTCACACGTAGGGTGTGCTTGTTTGCGTCTGTTCAAGTGCCCGTGCTTCCGGTTTCTTGCAGTGCAAAGATTAATGGCCGCAGTTGAAGGAAATGCATGGCGTCCGGAATGGATGTTTTAACACACTTGGTCATTTCGGCTATAACCGAAACGGCCAAGAGTGTCGAAATGCCCGTAACACCCTCCCCCCATGTTTCACCGACCCAGTTGGGAAGGCGTTTTGAAAGGAGCACAGAGCGAGGTCACAGAGAAAATAAATGAAAGTATGGTGTGCACCAAATGAAATGCAGCTTAACATTACTACTTGCATTCCCAGTTTTTCGATACAGTTTCTCTATACAGTCGAGCTCATTTATAACAATACTCTGGTGCCTTCCAAATTCCGTTATGAGAACCGGTTATCGCTATAAACGGGTTGCACAAAGAAACCAGATGGGAGGGGGGGGGGGAATAATATAATTTCATACGTTGCCCCAACAGACATCAGTCATAAGGATAACAAAGCTGCCAATTTTGTTTCCTTTTCAGACATGCGTTTGTCGGAAATGCTTTCAAATTTGCACAAAGCGTCCGAATTTTTATGCACTTCAAGCTTGGCCGCTGTGCTAGTGCTTGCTGCTGTACCGAAGATAACGGGTGCGATCCCGGCCGCTATGGTCGCATTTCGATGAAGCCAATGTGGTAGAAGCCTGAGTACTGTGTGATTTCGATGCATGGTAAAGGACACCAGGTGGTCACAATCTCCAAGAACAATCAAAATCGAGCATTTCGAAAATTGGCTTTGCCACAATAGCACAGCGCTCTGCAGCGAAGCATAATGTGAAACCGAAAGGGCGTTGGGGCACGTTGTAGGTGGAGGTTTGAACTTGTAGTTTTTTTCTTTGTTTTCAATATTTTCGCGTTTTATTACCTTTCAACAAAGACACCCAACAGTCAGAATTCACTGTTACAACCGATAATGCGGCCTGCAAACATTGTTTTAATGGGGCTGTTTCTCCATAAAATACACTTAAAAGCTGGCGGTACAGCAAAGTGTCATTCTCATAACCGATGTATTTTTAAAGCCGGAATCTCTATACGTGGCTTTGACTGTATAACGACGTTTTACTAATATGGTCACTACAAAAGTTGTTGGTTCGGACGTGAATGTGGGCCCTAACATTGCGCCCGAAAAATGCGAATTGTAGGCGATGAAAACTTAAATATATACGTAAATTTATTAGCCCTAGCTAAGCTGAGAAGTTTCATTCCGTGAGCACTGCACTTACGATTGCCTCCTTGTGTGCTTTGTTCCCGTTGTTACCTTTACACTGTGTCTTTTTGAAGCTGGGTGCTCCAGATTGACCAACGAAAAAAGGAGATTTTTATCTGCCCTTTCGAACACCGAACTTTTCTTGCGCAGGTCATCGGTTGCTGTTCCATGTGTGCCAATGTCCCGATGCCAACCGGACTGCGGCCCAAACCACAAGTTCGAGGAGTGCGCTTCACTGTGCCCCGCCTACTGCGACGTGCGACCACGGCGCGGTGTGCGACTGTGCCGCATGAACGCCTGCGTCTGCGCCGACGGGTACCTGCTCGCAAAGAACGGGACGACGTGCATCCCCAGGGACCGCTGCAAGCGCTTCTGACACGTTCACTCTTAACTCTGCAAGCATCGATAGTATGAATTAGTATCATGAGTGCCGTACAGGTGGACAAGTAAGCAACTTACAAATCCCCGTGAAAATTTCGGCTAGGCGAAAGCCTTTTTAGGGCGCAAGCCTTGGATGCCTGATCAAACGCAAGAAGTTACCTTACGCGGTGACGTTGGCGTCAACATGAAATCATGAAAAAAAGGCGAAAATTAATCGTCGTCACCCAATCAAACTATGAATCATCTCCCCGAAGGAAATTCCGAAGTGATGCGAAGCAGCAGCGGTGTGTGCGGAGTTGACCCGCTTGAAACAGGCGCAGGTGCTGAAAGAACGCTTTAAAGTGGAACTCTGTGTAGTATTTACTCGAGCAAACATTCGTTTGAAACGCAAAGACGCGAAAGAGAGGTAGGGCTCCGTGTTTCATTGCAGATTAACTAGCCGAAAAAGTAGACAGACTTAGTCACGCGTCCACAGTAGCTGTACGGAGGCAGCCTGCTAGCCATTTGCGATGGCAGGCCGCGTCCGTACGGCTGGTGCGGACGCACAACTAAATCTGTCTAGTGTTGATACTCGGCGAGTGGTCGAGCTTTGTGGGTGGTGGAGAGGGTGAAGCAAGAAAGAAGTGGGTTGCGAGCGGGTGGAGGATCCAGCAGCTGCTGAGAGTGAGATAGAGAGTGACGTCAAAGCGCATCTGCGACTTGACCTACTTGGCACCACTCCAACACCTGTGGAGAAGAGGTTTGTGTGGACACATGGGACAGCTTTACATCATAGGCTAGTCAGTGAGGTGCTTCGCATCTGAAAATTTACACCATCTAAACTGGAGGGAACCATTTGGGGATGCGAAGTAGTGCTGGTATTTCCTTGCTTATCGATTCGTTGTTTCCATTTGAATGTTTACGTCCATGTTTCATTTGTATGTTTACGTCTAGGTTTCACTTGTGTGTGCTGTTGTGTATATGTTGGGCACCGCATGTGTGATCCCGCCTACCATTTGTGTCTAATACTTATGTGTGCGCCGCAAAGTGAAATCCCAGTGCCGCTAGGTGAGTGCAACGGCGCGAGCGAGCGCAGCATTAGTTAAAAGCGCACAGCTGTGGTGGAGAAAAAAAGGGAAGGGGAGAAAATAAGTGAAAGCACTGATTTGCTGCCTCCTCGCACTTCCTCACACTCCCGCAAGAAGAAGGCCCTCGGTGACCACACGCTTCCTCACTGCGCATGCACCAACTCTCCCCCTTTCCTTGCGCTCACGCAAGGAGAAGGCGCTTTACTCCCACATCCTTGCGGGCAAGCTAAGATCGGACGGAGGGTTGCGCACGACTCGGCACGATGGTCTAGCGGCTAAGGCACTCGGCTACTGACCCGCAGTTCGCAGGATCGAATACTAGCCGCGGCGGCCACATTTTCGATATAAGCGAAAATGCTTGAGGCCCGGGCCGTGAGTGCGTTTAATATTTAGGTGCACGTTGAAGAACCCCAAGTGGTCGAAATTTCCAAAGCCCTCCACTATACGGCATCTCTCATAATTATATGTAGGTTTTGGATGTTAAACTGCAAAAACAATTTATTTATTTAATTATTAATAATTATAGTGGGCGATGTCGCAGTAAGAGCGCACCATGCCACACATCGGATGGAGCTTCACCATCTAAAAATATAGTCGTGAGGACGTTATCACGGTGTTTCTGCGACGCCCTATGATGGCCTCATCACGTGACACTGTCATTTGAACAAACGTGAGCCGATCCAAGTGGCACTACAAAAACTTTGTGACGTGCAGGGTTTTATACTGGTACGCTCCGATCGTGGAGGCAGTACAGGGCCAGGGGAAGTACAGAAAACTTTGGAGTGACCAAGACAGCAAATTCAGAAGAAAGAAATGGCAGCATATCGACGGAGTTAACGATGGAGAGTGGGGCGATGCATCCGTTCGTCCATGCGTTCTTGATTCTGTCCGTTCATGCGTCCGTCTGTGTGACCGTCCATGCGTCCATCTGCCGGTCCATGCTTGCGTCTGTTTGTGCGTCCGCACGTCCACTCTTGCCTCCGTCCCTGCGTTCGTACATGCATCAACCCCTGCGTCCCTCCATCCATCCATCCGTCCGTGCAGCCATCCGTGCGTTCCTCCATGCATCTCTCTGTGTATCTGTTCGTCCGTCTAGTCAACACTCCAAGTACCACTATCTCACATCTTTTCATCATATATTCCCCATATAGAAGCACCGCCATCCTATGGACATTCCAAGGACTGACCGAGAAGTGGCACACGCACACTTTCTTACGGCTTGCGCTTCGTGTCTACTTCCCACCTTTAACCACCTCAAGTTCATGGTATATACTAGTTCACTCTATTCATGACACTACGGCCCAACACTCGCTAAACCTTTCTAAAACAAAAGAGGTTACGCCCAGGTAGTATAACGTAGCAACCCTTTCTTGTCAGATAGTGCTCAATGTGCATGCCAATGGCTGGTAATGGGGAATGAGAGACAGGAGAATTCGGCCTTTACTTTCTTACGTCTTGCGCTTTGTATCTACTTGCCACCTTTAACCACCTGGAGTTTATGGTATATTAGTTCACTGTATTCATGGCACTATGGCCCAACGCTCGCTAAACCTTTCTAAAAGCAAGGAGGTTACGGCCAGCAAGTATAACGTAGCAACCCTTTCTTGTCAGATAGTGCTCAATGTACATGCCAATGACTGCTAACTGGGAATGAGGACAGGACAATTCGGCTTTTAGTTAACGCGTACGCTGCAAATTTTTTATTGTACAACAACGCACAGGAGCAATCTCCCACCGGCACCATCCTTGCAGATCATAACGTAAGACTGGGAACACACTACGACTACAACTACTACGAGGGACGAATGAGTGCCTGCTTTAAAGAGCTTCGCTTCTCAAAAAATACCACATTCGTATTTACAGGGGCATGATCTCAACGTATATGCACTGCACACGAACGTGGGTTACGCCAGATTATGCAGTCTTTGCATTCCCGACGGAGGGCATCTCCGATGGCGCTCCCAAGCCTACGGTCTCCAGCACTCCACGCAGTGCATTATAAGCTCACACACAACGCCGTCTCACTTGTTTCGTCTTTCGAGTGCGTCATGCCTGCGCAGTGCGAATATTACTGCCGAACGTTGTAGCGGTGGGTCGTCTGGTGGATAAAAACTATCGTTTGTCAACACCACGAATTTGTGGTGTCATGCGCTGCGGAACTTGACGTATTAATCTTTATCCTCGAATGTATTGAATGTATTACCAAGCTTTCAGCAGGCTTTCAACTTTATGTGTGAAGCAGAATAAGATGTGCTTAACATGCTTTTTTAGTGTTCGCTGACGCTTCAAAAAAATCACTTAGAGAGTTAGTGCTCCTTCTCAATTGAAGTCCGTGCACTAAATAATCCAGATCACACGAGGCATTGTTTCCGTTTATTCATACAAAGCGTGCTAGGTTTGGCTGGGTTATGTCAATGGGTCGAAACATTCATGTCTGAGCAGCCTTTATTAAAACTGTTTCTATTCGGAGTTAACTTTTTGTGGTGCTTTTGTCGATAGCTTCGCCCCCTATAACAAACATCCAAGGCTTTTAGCAGGACGGCTCAGTGCTCTCCCATAGTTGAGTACGAAGTACTCGAAATCGTTAAATATTTTTTTCTAAACACATCACTGGGTTTCTTTGAACTTCATTTAGCGGCACATCTCAGTGCTCTCCCAAGCACTCGAAATCGGTAAACATTTTTTTCTAAACACGTATGTTCGAAATAAGTATGCAGTGGAAGTCTCGCCACAAGGATATTTCTGTCGACCTTTGATGACTGTGGGATATTTTGTCTCATAGAGAGTAGGGTACTGGCCCATTTGACGGGACGCCCTCAGAGAGCCATGTTCCCACTGCTACGTCAGTTAAGAAACGTAATGATTACGCATGTCAATGAACACTTATTTATTTTGCAAGAGGAGGCCTTCCTCCGACGCTGATCTGCGCGATTCGTTATTGTTAAAAACAACAGTGTCCATGCCTTTCCTCCCCTACTGAGGACGTGGGAAAGAGCTTGTACCACTCTGAAACTGCAGTGTGTTTTTTTAGGCGCGAAGCTGCGCATAACGGTCCCTGTTCGTCCCCCATAGCCGTTGTGGTAGTGTGTAACATATAACATTTTGACCTCCAAGATGGTTCCGGTGAGAGATTTTTCTGTGCGTTGTTGAACAATAATAGATGGTGCTCAATGTACATGCCATTGGCTGCTAAAGGGTAATGAGAGACAAAAGAATTTGGCTTCAGTTTAACGCGCATGCTGCGAATTTTTTATTGTTCAACAACGAACAGAAAACAGGAAAGGGTCAAAGGGTAACACGCGAGTGACAGTGGTTCTTCCTCTTTTTTACTTTCTTTCTTTTCTTTCTTTTTCTTTTTTGTCTATTTTCTCCCCCCCCCTTTCTTTTCCTTTTTAGTTCTCTCTCACTATCGCAAACATATTTCAAGGCGAGAGGGACGCGGCAGCAATGAAGTTTGGAAGTTCATGTCAGTATAACTCATCCCCTGATCAAGGGAGAACCCCTCCCGAAACTGTTGGGAAATAAATATATTTATCATGTTGACAACGCTCCCGTTGTGCCATGTCCCATACCTTCACGAAGACTAACTGGCCCATTGAATTACTACTCCCACTATATATATATATATATATATATATATATATATATATATATATATATATATATATATATATATATATATATATATATATATATATATATATATATATATATATATATATATATATATACATGAATACGCAAGAAAGAAAAAGTGTCACAGCTTTGCCGCAAAGCCGAAGCAATGAACACAATAGCAGGTAATGGGAAGTTTGCGCACAGAAAGACGAGCAGATCGAAACGTGCCCTGTGTCGTTTTTCGCAAACGGAGACTGTGCAATGATTGCACTGACCTTTGTATGCCCCGTAACTACAACAGAGCCGTTCC